TAAGAATAACACTTACTTTCATTAAAAATATATTAGAGAGGAATTAATTTAAGTTCTATGAGAGACAAAAGGGAGGGATAATCCTAGTTCCTCATCTTCAAAAGTTAAAGTTTTAACAAGTTTTAATTGCTTTAAAATTATTTTAATCAGATTTTTATTACTTTCACATAAAAAGAAATACTTTCTATTTGGCTCAACCTATCTCAAAGCTCGATAGTGAACGTCAACCCTCATTTGTCTAAAATCCTCGTAGGAACGATAACTCTAAAATATTCTATACTTGTGACAACCCGTACGCTTGCAGTAACACTTGACGGCGAATATTTGTTTAAGCCTTTTGGCCTGAGGATTGAGTTTTAGACACTAAATGTTGTGAAAATTGATGAAAAACTGTAAGTTTTAAAATGAATGTCTAAATTTTGAATAAGTAACAATTTGAGTGTGTAATCCAAGCCATTAGTTAAAGCTTAGAAAGAGCTTCTCGTAAACACCTAGTTCATGTCAATTGAACGTTGGACGGAGGAATAAGATGCATCGGAAGTTGCCTCGAAGGAATGTGTTATTTCTTTAAGAGACTTACATGAATGACAGGATTAATCTTAAGCTTGGGAGGGAGTTGTACCTCATGAGAGACCTTTCTAACAAGCTTGACAATTAAAAAAGAGCCTTCATATCTCCTTACTAATCCTTTATGCACCTTGCACAGAGACTTGAATTGATTTAGTAGTAACTTTATTATTACCAAGTCTCTAACTTGAAATTTGGTGGGATGTTATTTCTTGTTTCCCTACTTCTTCATCTTTTGGGAGGTTTTATCCAAGCTTACTTGATTGATGTCAGCTTCTTCTTGCCATTCTTTAATGAATTTGAATGCAACTGGATTGTCTCCCTTATACGGAGTGGAAAGTATAATGGGGGTTAGATGTTATTATTCAATAACTATTTCAAAAGGGCTCTTATTTGTTGACTCACTTTGCTATAAGTTATAGGAGAATTAAGCCACATTAAGAAACTTGGCCTAATCTCATTGATAAGCATTTACATAATATCGAAGGTAGAGCTCTAACAGAGTGTTAATCTATTCTGTCTGTCTATCATTTTGAGGATAAAGGCTTTTTGAGAAGTTGAAGTCTGTCCCCAAGAGCTTGAATAATTTCCTTTAAGAGGAATTGAGCATAGGATAGATTTCTTGGCCGGAGCTACTATTCTAAACAAGCCTGCTTATAGGGCTAACCCTGAAGAGACTAAGGAGATCCAGTGCCAAGTAGAAGAATTGATGATGAAAGGCTTTGTGTGTGAAAGCCTTAGCCCTTGTACTGTCCTTGTTATCTTGGTGCAAAAAAAGACGAATCTTGGAGGATGTGTGTTGATTGTAGAGCAATCAACAAAATCACTATAAAGTATCGTTACTCTATCCCTAGACTTGATGATATGCTTGATGAATTGCATGGTGCTTCTATCTTTTCTAAAATTGATCTTATAAGTGGTTATCATCAAATTCATATGAAAGAGGGTGATAAATGAAAAACTGCCTTTACAACTAAATTTGGATTATATGAATAGTTAGTTATGCCTTTTGGTTTGACTAATGCTCCTAGTACTTTTATGACATTAATGAATCATGTTTTTAGAAAGTCTATAGGCAAGTTTGTTATGGTTTACTTTGATGATATTCTTATTTATAGTAAATCTTTGACTGATCATATGAATCATCTTAAAGCTAAGTTTGTGCAGGACTTACATGCTAAGGTTAAAGCAAATATAAAGCAAAAGAATGAGCAATATACCAAGCAAGCTAATAAAGGCAGGAGACATGTGATTTTTGATCCCAAAGATTGGGTTTGGTTATTTTTAAGGAAAGAGATATTTCCTAATCAAAGGAAGTTTAAACTTCAAGCTCGAGGAGATGGACCTTTCTAAGTTTTGGAAAGAATTAATGATAATGCTTATAAGATTGATTTGCCTAGCTCTTATGGCAATGTTAGTTTCACATGTAATGTTTCTGATTTATCTTTATATGATTCTGTAGATTCGAGGACGAATCCTTTCCAACTGGGAGGGAATGATGGACCCCATGGCACGGATGACATAGCATTAATGGCGACGAAGCTTGAGAATGGTAATCATAATCATGGTGACATGAAAGGAGCCTAATACTTCTAATCCAATGTACCTAAAGACCCATTACAGCATATTGGAGATCCAATGATAAGAGCCCAAAACTAAAGCCATGAAGCAAGCCTTGTTCAGTCTTGTGCTAGAAGTTTAGGAGCTTGAAGAGCATTGGAGAACTCCTTTCAAGCCAAAAGGAGAGTATCTATACATGTATAATGTACTTAAGATTCAAATTCATGAAGAGTCAAGCTCAAGAGATGCAGACCTTAGCCCAATGCAAGGAAGACTACAAGTCGAGTCTTTTGCAAGCAATGAGGCATGAAACCCTAGTGAAGAAGTCAAGGGTGGAGTGATTTTAAATTCTTTATGATTCCTTAATTGTCTCCTAAATTATTTCCTATTTTAATGATCCTTTGATTTGATTTCCTATTTTGAGTCTAGTCAAAAGTTAGAATTAATTATAGTATTAATTTCTAAATTTTATAATCCCATAATTTTAGGATCACATCTCCTAAATTATGTGACTGAATATTTTATCATTGTTTTATATTATTTCTCCTTTTAGTATTAGGAAATTAGGGTTTTAATTTTAGAAAATATTCTTTTTTATGAGTCTATATAAATTAGGCATGCTACCTCTTGTAAACAAGAAAGAGAAGTTGAATGAAAATTATTCATTTTTAGAGTTTATAACTCTTGTGAGCCTTAGTGCTTTGTAGTGGCATCCCGAGTGAGAAATAGATATGATCAAGAGCGTGATTAACTCTTGTGGTGTCTTCGAAGGTTGAGGTTCCTAGAGGCAGGTGCTCTAGAGGATCTTCTCCTTGATCATTACCCCATTGTTTATTTCATATCTTTATTTATTTTCATCATAAGTTTCGTCCTTTTCTTTTTGTTCTTGTGTTTTTATTTTGTCATGGTTCTGTCCTTATACTAGCACGATTCTGCTTCCGCGTCCCCTATCATAAACACCATTTAATATCTCATTCTACAACCACCTTATCCCATATAACTACACTACCCACATTAGACATGTTAGTGTTAATTAAAAAATTTAAATTCAACTTCAAAATTTAAAGCAAATGTGGCTTGACAAGTTGAGATAACGTAGAGATTTTTAAGGGTGAGGTAGTTTTATATTTATTTTAAATTATGAGTAGAATCAAAATTAAAATTATACTAATATTTTTGAAAATTAAATTTTAAATTATGAGTAATCACATGAAATTTTAAAATATAAATTAAAATTTCACAAAAAATTTAAAAATCAAAATTTTTAAAATTAAAATTTAAAATTATGGGCAAGAAGTTGGTATGTTTGGATAATGGATAGATTTTTTTTTTTGGAGATAAGGAGGATATACATAATTTTGTTATTTTTTTTATGTTAGAAGGTAAAAATTTTAAATAAATAAATAAATGAGAAGCTGACATAATGTAGAGATACTAAAAGATGAGATAGTTTTATTTATATTTAAGAATTAAAAATAAAATAAAGCAAAATTACATTAAAAACACATGTTATTGAGAGGATGCTGCTTGTAGTTTTACTAATATTTGTAATTTAAATATAAATCTAGTTGTAATTTCAACAAGTGTTTAAAATTAAAATCTCAAATTTTCAATAATTCTTGAAATGGAAATTTTAAAATTAAAATTTATAATTATGAGTAAGAAGTTGTAAAGTTTGGATGATGGAGGGATTTTTCAAGACAAGGAAGGTATAAATATTTTTATTATTATTTTAAAGTTATAAATTTTGAGATTATAAATAAATTAATCAATGAGGAGTTGGGATAATATAGAGATATTTGGGAAAGGTATTTTTATTTATGTTTAAAAGGTTAAAAAAATAAATAAAATTGCACAAGGGAAACTTGTCATCTCCAAGATGCTGCTCACACACACACACACACACACGATAATTGGGAGATATTTGAGGGTGAGGTAGTTTTATCTATTTTTAAAATTTTTATCTATTTTAAAAAATTAAAAATAAATAAATATTATAATTAAGGACATGTGTTGTCATTAGATGTTACTTGTGTTTTTACTTTTATATATATAGATATAACTCTTAATTACTATAATAACCTATTTTGTATCACAATAGAGTTTTAAAAATATTATCTAAAGTTTTTTTACCTTAATAAATAAAATATTTATTAAGGTAATATTTTAAAAAGTAAGTTTTATTCTTTATTATTATGATAAATTTTTTTTACCATCGTATGTATTAATAAATAAAATTATTTAAGATATTATATAAATTTTAAAAAATAAGTGTAAATTTTAGAGTGTGATAGTAGTCACCAACACCATAATATTAATTAACATTATCATAAATCAAATTAATTTTTTTTAAGAAAACTTAATTTTTTAATCTTTTAACTTTTAACTCACTTATAACTCAATCCCTTAACTATGACTCGCTGAAACTCAGTCCTTCAATTATAACTCACTGTGATTCAATCCTTCAACTTTTGATTTACCTATAATTTGGTCCTTATTTTTTAATTTTTTTAAAAAATTCTTATCAAATAAGAGGAATAAAAAAATGTTCATATATTATTTTAAAATACCCTCCTCTTACTCATCGATGTGAGATATAAGCTAACATGAAAAAAATTAACAAAAGTTAAGGGATTAATTTGTAAGTAATTTAAAAGTTGAGGGATTAAGTTATAAGCGAGTCATAGTTGAGGAATTTAGTTACAAGTGAATTAAAAGTTGAAGAATTAAAAGATTAATTTTTTTAAATTTTTATAATTTAATATAATTTCAAGGAAATAATAAATTTTTATTAGTACATGCGATTCAATAAAAAACGCCTATATATGGTGTAATTTCCCTGTTTTTCCGGTTTTTCTAGTGCGAACTGATATACTCTAGTTCGAAGCTGTCCCTGGCCACTTCTCGTTCCCTTGTGGAGTGCCATCCTTTACGCCGTCTGGAAACTGCTCGGCAATGGCAGCTTTACTTCGTCATATATCGAGGACCCAAAAGCAATTTCTTCTTCACTGCCGAAGCTTTTACCCTGCGTCGTCCTCGTTACAAGGAGTGCCATTCATCACTTCGCCTCGAGGTACTTCTTTCCGTCTCGCCCTCCTATCATCATAAGGAAGCTTAGTTTATTGATTGTTTCCTGACCTGTTCTGCTTCGTATGATACTTTGATCGCATGAGTTGATAATCAAAATCATACGAAGACGTAAAGGAAATGGTTGGAGGGGAAAATGTAGAATCGGAACACAAGTTGGCCAAAATTAAGAAAGAGCATAAGAAAACTACACTTAAAACTTTAAAGGGACTTGACTCAAAGCATTGATCTCGGCATAGCAAATTTCAATATAACGTAGTTTCTTCCCGGCAAACAGTTTACTATCTGTTGTCTAATTTGCAATCCTTCGCATGATAGCATTAGAAAATGAGAAATTCCGCCCTGAATGGTAATGGTTTGCAATTGCACTTTGCACTAACCAGCTTATTAATATCTGTAATAGAATCGAAAAACACTGCAGCCACTGCATTGCAAAGATGGGTTCCTTAGATTTGACGCAGAAGGCCTTGAATTTGCTTGTATGTTTTATCATAGAATTGATAGCAATTTCTAAACGAGGCATGAGGGAGATACGTAGTTTGAAGGAAGCTGGATTTCGCAGCATAAGACATTCTTTTACTTTTGAAAGGGGTCCATTCATCTTTCATTTATATATATATTTTGAGTAGGAGCCGACATTCAAATGAATTCAATTCCTTCCTGCAGTGAGATTTCTGGGAACTGCTACAGAAGTTGTTCATGGATTTGATGACATGATGACTGGAAACCAGCGTAAGTATTACATGCTTGGGGGGAAGGGGGGTGTTGGTAAAACAACCTGTGCTGCCTCCCTTGCCGTCAAATTCACGAATCATGGACATCCTACTATCGTGGTTTCAACTGACCCTGCTCACTCCTTAAGCGACTCTTTTGGCCAGGTACTTAAATTGTTTCATATATGTTATGGAGCAAATAGTATTAGAATTTATTGTAGTGTACTGTATAATCTTGACAGAACTTTATAGATATAACGCTACCTTTCCATTAGGATTTGACTGGTGGCAGGCTTGTTCCAGTTGAAGGAGTGGATTCACCATTATATGCACTCGAGGTATTCAGTGATTGAAATTCTTCTCCTCCAAATGGTATTGCTTTGATTGGTCTATTGCAGAACTTCATAGAGCACATGCTCCATTTTTAACCTTTCATGCGTGACAGATAAACCCTGAGAAATCTATGGAAGAGTTCCATGCGGCCAGTCAAAATGTTGATAATGGAGGTCTAAAGAATTTAATGGAGAGTATGGGACTTGGAATGATTGCTAAACAGGTTGTATCTGCTATCAGAGTGTTATGAGTATGCTTTCATTCTCAAATTATTCAAGCTCTATGATATTGTTGTTTCTGAATTCTGAGCCATGGTTTAGACCCAATCTCTTCCTAGTACATTTATGCTTTAACTTTCAAAACCTGAAGCTTGTAATATTTAATTATAAACATGAGGCTTATAGCTTGCTATATTTATGCATTTAGAAAATAATAACAACAGCAACAATAATGATCAAATATCCAACTAATTATTTTGGATTCTTAGATTAATGACGTCTACGTACTTTTACCTTCAGTTCATCTCTCTTAATTACAGCTAAAGATTCCACTTGAATTTGCTTAAGAATTGTAGTTAGATTCAGGAGCTTCAAAAATCTTCCTCGAGTCTAGTAGTGGAATCTGCATTGTCTCTATTGACGTGACATAGCAACCTAGAGTGCCTTTCGAATCTATTTGACTCCCTTGCTGTTGTAATCTGCTTTGTTATATATTAATATAATATTATTAATTTATTGGCTAATGAAATTGTTATAGCTAGGGGACCTGAAACTGGAAGAGCTGCTGCATACTCTTCCACCTGGAACAGATGAAATCGTAGCAATGTCCAAGGTATCTCATTCATTTTTAAAGACCAATTATTTAGAAGAAAATGCACTGATGTTTCTTGCTTATGCTACTTTAATCCAGGTGATGCATTTCCTTGAGTCATCAGAATATGATAAGTTCACACGGATTGTTTTTGACACAGCACCTACGGTCTGTAACACTTATCAGTCTTTGTATGATATTTGGAGAAAATGAATATTCATAATTATTTCTTTGGTTAATAGGGTCATACACTTAGGCTACTGTCATTACCTGACTTCCTGGATGGATCTATTGGCAAAGTAGTGAAGGTATGGATCATGAACTTGAAAACTTTTTATGTTTACTGTTCCATAGCTTGCTTATTTATAAATGATTTTACTAATTTTGATAATGATACTAACTATGTTATCCAGTTGAAGAAAAAATTGTCTACAGCCTTCAAATCTTTGTTTGGAAAAGAAGAAGCTGGAATTGATGCTGTAAGCTTAAAAGTATTTTTAAAAGGCCTCTTTCCCTTGTTGGAATATAAGCATTCTGAATTTGCACATGCAGTCAGACAAACTAGAGAAACTCAAGGAGAGGACGGCAAAAGTACGGGACCTTTTCCAGGATCCAGACACTACTGAATTCATAATAGTAACAATTCCTACGGTAATGCTGACCTTCTTCTTTGCAAGATTACTGGCGGCAGGAACTGAAATGCCAACAACTAGAAGAAGCCTTATTTCACTAAGCCTATCCAGGAACTGACATGCCAACTACAACAAAAACACTTGAAATATAATATATTGCTAATGTCAAAATAGTTTGAACTGATTTTCCCTTGGTTGACCAAATTTGGTTTCTAGTAGATTGTGTCTCAAATATTTATCATACTTTTGCAACTTTAGTACTGAGAAATCATCAGATTCCTTTTAAGTTGTTAATTATAGATTCTTAAATAATAAACAAACTTGAATCTTAAAATGTCGTCAATGTCAGAATCATTTGTTCCCCAATAAATGATTTAAGGAGTCTGGTTCTTGGTATGATAATTTAGAAATATTTGCAAAAGACACTTGTCATGTCAAAGTCTACCCAAAAAAAAAAACCGTCATTTCAAAGGCGACAAACATATTGCATACAATATGCCAACTTCATTAACTTATTATGCCTTGTAATAGTTTATGCGTTCACAAATTAAATTCCTTACATTACAATTTTGGTTGAAGCCCATTTGGTAGATTTAGATACTATCCTTGACTCCTGGTTGAACATCATGATTCATGAGCTAAGACTCTTCCGACCTCTAGTCCTGCACACTTCTTTTGAATCTTCTGTCAGAATCGTTGTGGGCTCTTTATATATAATTCCTCAAAAACACCATTAATTATGACTTGCTTTCTTATCCTAAAAAATAATTGTATAATACTTCTCGATGCCAGTTTATTATTCACTTTACTAGTTTACTATTTCTTTTCAAACTTTGCTGTTTGCTCATTTTTATCTTCAATTTCTGCTACAATCTCATTGTGATTATTTCTCTTCAAGGTTATGGCAATTAGTGAATCCTCAAGGTTACACGCATCCTTGAAGAAGGAAAGAGTTCCAGTTCAAAGGCTTATCATTAATCAGGTCTTGCCTTCTTCATCGGATTGCAAGTTTTGTTCAATAAAAAGGAAGGTAATCAAAGATCAATCATTTTTCTGTATTTGAATTTGTGGTCAAGCACGTACAAGACAAGTTTGGATTATTTATTCTATAACAGATCAGAATACTTAAGTGATAAATTTGTATACTGTGTAAAAAATTATTTTATCACTGGCTTAGAGTTTTGGTGAAAACTTTGTGGAGATTGTTATATGGAATTTACCAGGTTTAATAGGACATTAAAGGTTTTTCGTCCCAGCTGGGGAACAAGACCCTAAGCAGCGACAGATGAAAGCATATATCAGAGGAACTTAAGGCAGGATACATAAACTGAGTCCCATGACTCTTTTGGGTTCTTTAGGCACTAAGAATAACAGTCTATCATGTTTAATATGAAGTTTATGTGGGTACAGGTGGAAAACTGTGGCACGGCTCAAGTTTTAAATCATAGAATTCTGTAGATTTATAATCTAAATGTGTTGAAAGTTTTCCAAAGAATTATTCTCTCTTAGTGACTATAACGATAATCTCTTGACAACAACCAAGATATTAAAAAGCTAGATGCTAAATAAAATTGTAACGCTCCGTTGGTTTTTCTGTCCGTGCAGGATCAAATGCGTGCTATTGATCGTATTCGTAATGATTCAGAACTTGTTGGTTTGAGATTATACCAGGTACCATTAGTGGATATGGAGATAAGGGGTGTCCCGGCTCTCAAATACTTGGGTGATATGCTCTGGAGATAAAACAAACATTTTAGATATGCGGAACGCGAGCTAAAATATAGATAGGCCTGTCTTTCCTCGCTTTGATCCCTGCGTGCTTGGTTTGAGAGTATCTGTATTTCTTATCCTTTTGGCTCCTTATGGATGCATAGCAAGGAGTAGCATATGATGCTGTTCGTAGAGACACTGGCTGAACAGCTGTGGTGATCTATGGCAAATTCCTTGACATCCATTCAAGGAGCGAGACAGAATCTCATGTTTCTTTCTCATCTCTGGAATCTCTGCTGGGATAAAAGTGGTATGAAACATTGAAACAAAGCTGAGACTGAGGAATCAAACGTTTATGGCTGAGACTTCAACGATTACAGATTCTAACTACAGAGCGAGCGATAAAGTCTGCATGTCAAATGGGTTTTAACGCACTATACAGTTCCTGTAGCAGATTGTGTCAAAAAATGGCAAGTAATATGAATTGATTATTCGTCATAAAAGGTAGAATATAATTAATGTATGGTTCTTCTGTTTTTCAAAATTATTTGATTATTGAAGGACAATGTATATATTTGATTTCAGGAGGCCCAGAAGAGGAATTTTTAAACCAGACGAGGATTCATTTAACTAGTGATTAATTGAACTTGATTATAAGTATCTTTGAAAATGTTTTCTTGCCAATAACTTGAAAATTATGGTTAGTATTTCCTCGGCCAAAAATGGGGGAGAAATTGAATTAGCTGCTAAGAAACTCCATCGCTCGACTTTTTGAAGAGGATCTGTAATTCATTATAGTTTGTGGCTAGTCTTTCTGAGACAGATGGATAGATATAAAGAGGATCTGTGAAAGTGACATCTACTAAACCCTCAAGCCTCGTACTAGTCAATTTTTCAAGCGCCTAGTGGGAAGCATGAATCTAAAAAGACCACCCCAAATTTGCTAATGGCCTAAACTTTTCGATCCTACCCATTCCGTAAGATTGCGCTTCCCACGCTGGAGTCTCCCTTTGTTGCCCATGGATGTCAGATTTTATAATTTGCGGTATTAAAAGTATTCATCAAGGATTCATTGTCTACCAGTGTCACACAAGTTACGCATTCATGCATAAACGCTAAACACTATCGACAACGATTTACTTCAGCCAACACTGGTGTCGTTTCAAAATTTCGACTGTCCAGTTTAATCGTGGCAATCTACAAGTTGTGGATTGTATAGTACAGTAGCAATCTAAGAGTTTTGAATTTCAAGTGGCAAAAATTGATTAACAAAACGTGATGATATTTAAATAATATTTTTTAAATTGATTTTGATAATTGAAAATGTTTGGATAATATTTCAAAAGCATTATAAAGATGGGAGGAGTGGAAAATGCTCAAATAATAAGAATGGATTTTCAAATGGGAAAAAAATAACTTATGCCAAATGGAGTTTGGAAGAATTGTGAATGTTTGGATAAGATTTCCAAAATTATGATTTTTGACTCAAAATTAATTCCGGATATACATATCCAAACTGACCCTATATTGGATGGCCAACAAAACATCTTAGTCATACATATGGATTTACATTGTGATAAATAAAAAGAGTTGAGAGTAAGGATATACCTTGCGCTCCCTTGCCTTTAAATATGTTTGAGAATTGGGAGACATATGGTCATTGATGGATGAGGTACTACGAGGAGTTGAATAATTGGACATCCCTTGGGACAAATTATACCGGCGATATTGTAATTTTTTCATAGATCAAATGGATAGAAAAAGTATGTTATACGGATTTATCGTAAATGAATTTTAATTAGTGTGTGTGCAGGGAAATCTTTGCATTCCTAGGCCATAAGCAAGATAAACTCCTTTTAAACATATTTATTTAAAAAATGTATCCAAATTTACATGATATTTTAAACAGAGTTCGATTAGGAAAATAAAAAAAATGTCTAAGCTAGTTTAAGATTCGAGCGACCAAGTCCTACTTCCAACTAGCCCCAAAAAAGGTAAAAAAAAAAAAAAATCTAACTAGGTCATGTTAGGCTCTATTTTGGAGTTCATAGCAAAATTACAAAAATTTGTCCAAATATGTGTTGCAAACTGCAGTTTTTTTTTTTTAATGCTCCAGACTGGTTTTGTATTTTCAGAGTATTATTTATAGTTTATTTCCTCCTGCTTGTTCTAAAATTGGGTGAAAATGCATTTTTATTTTTAAAGTATTTTTTTAAAAAGTATCCAACATCCTAAATTATTTGGTGTAACATTTTTGTCTCTAAAGTAATTAAAATATAGCATTTTATACTTTGACATTAAATAATAGATGCTGACCATTAATATGATTAGAAAGAAGGTAGTTTAACTATCTAATGAACGTTTGTGAATATTTAATGTTAAAGTTGAAAATATTACGTTCTAATTTTTTTAAGAGCAAAAATGCTATATTAAATAGTTTAGGTACCAGGTATTTCTTAGAAAATAATTCAGAAGTAAAAATGCATTCTTACCCCTTAAAATTTGGATTGTTTGTTTTTATCAACAATTTGTTGAATGTTTTGAATTTGAGTCATGTGGATTGTAATTGAAATGCTTTTTGTTTTTGTTGGAGATTGTAATGAATTTATTATGATTAGCTCTTAATGTTTGTGATAAATTTTAAATGATTATAAGTATTTTTTTTATTTTAATTGAGTTTATCAAGTTAAAATAAATTGTTATCTCTCACAGGAAAAAAGGTAAAAAAATAAAAAACAAAGTGAGATATTGGATTACTAAAATTGATATTTCAATTCTATGAACCAAGTTTAGTTTTATTCAATTTCAAATTAAGTTTAAACCAAACCTGATTATAGTTGTCTAACCTAGTTTTTTTTTTCATAAAAGAGACTAGACTTGAGGTTAGATTGAAATCTTGTTCTTTTAACCCTGTGTGCAACCTTGTCCATACCCATTTTTTTAAAAGGAACATATTGTTCAAGGACTGCTAAGGCAATATAACACCAAACAATGACAAAAATTTTTTTAAAATATCACTATAGGATTAAGGGATTTATTGAAAATAATTTTAGATGGGAAAAAACTATAATACCTCTACTATTCTTTTTCTTTTTTTTATTAGCAAATTATTTTTATTAAATGTAAATAAATATTTGTTAATTAATGAATAATTATTTGTTAAAACATAATTTGTACTTATCCCTTCCTACAACTACAACTAAGTTCTTTGAAATTTTTTAATTTGTGAATTAATAAATAGTTTCTTATTAAATGAGAATGAGTACTCGTTAATTAATACGTGGCTACTAATTGAAATACAATCCACACTTGTTCTTTCCCACAACTAAACTATTTTATATTCTTGAACTTGTCAATCAATGAATAACTTCTTGTTAAATATTAATAAATACTTGCTAATTAATAAATGATTATTTGTTAAACTATAATTTACATTTGTCTCTTCTTCTAATCAAACTCTTATCAATTAGTGAATGTCCTTAAATGTGAATGTGTAATTACTACTTAATGAATGATTGCCTCTCAATTAAAAAATGGAAGCACTATAATTTTTTCTATATAAAATTATTTTTAAACCGGTCAATGGTTTGTATAGTGACATTTTATAATTTTGTAATTATTGTTTAATATTAAATATAATCTTTAAATGATATTTTTCTTTTTGTTTTTTAAACAAAAAAGAAGGAGAGGGAGAGGATTAAATTCTCTCTCACATCATCAGTCATTCAGTCACATTCTCCCTGCCCTTCAAAGATTCGCTCTTTGAAACACTGAACAAACCTCATGATATTTGTCCCTTTTCCATCATGGACTTTCCTGGAGCCCTTCCCTTGAAACAATACTCCCTCTCCACTTCCTCTTCCTCAATTCGCTGTCCGCGCCCCATTTTCACTATTTAATATTTTTACACACACACACACACACACACACACACACACACATATATATATATATATATATATATTTAATTATCAATATCATAATCTTTTTATACTTCTAAAATTCGAGCAACTTTCGTTTATGGCTCTTTTCGGATTAGAACTTGTTTCGTTCTCGCGTTTGGACGAATGCAACATGATCTGCATATTCTTCAATTTGATCCAAATGTGTAGGAAGCTTTGCATCCTTGCCGCTGATTTCTTTATTCTCTTCTCGATATCTTCGCACAGAGAATTCATTGTTCTTTGCTTCAAGTTTGTTCAGATTAAGCAACTGTTTACTATTGTGAGATGCGCTGGTTGGCTACTGAATCAGTGCGCGTAATGGATAAAAGCTATACGGTGAGGCATCGGAAATTTCAAGAGTCTTTAATGGCACTCTGCATCTTTATTCTCCTTCAAATCTTCATCGCCATCCTAGGAAACGCCTGCTAGAAACGTTGTTCCCGGTTGTCCGATGATTTTTTTTCTTTGTTCTTTTATCATTGGGCCTTATTATCGTATGCATTTGAAGGAACTCGTATGGCTTCTTCCTAGAAAATTATATTGGATTTTAATGTCTGGTGTCCTGAACATCACCTTTCTCTGTTTTCTACCTCAAGCTTTTACCGTGTCACCACCCATGTTAGAATGCTATACTGATTTTTTGAAATTCACAGCTCATCCTTTTTCCAGTCAATAAAATTCAATTTCATGTTATATTGTTATAAAGTCAAGAGCATACTCGACTACTCGTATCTTTGTTTATACATGGATAAGATTACGTGGATGGTGTGGCCATTGAGGGAGATTTTTATGGGTCTAAACTTTAAAGTCTCTTTAGTTACTGTTCTCGCTTCTTGTTCATTGTTTTCTAGTGCCGTATTATGGCCGAACTAAGTAAGGATTCACTTTTTGCCCTTTAACAAGTTTTCATTTCTCTTTGGTTTAAAAAAGGCGCCCCATATAACCTCCTCCTATGGGAATAAGAGTTCATTTTGACAATTTCTAAATGTGTGAACAAGGATTTCAAGAAGGCTATAAAGTATTTCATTTTAACTCAGCACTTTAAAATTTAGACCTGCATTTGGGCTTCTTATTCTCGGCAGATCTCTTATATGTTTACAAGCAAAATATAGGACACTCTTGGTCTTTAATCCATGAAATGATTCTGTTTATTATCATTCTGCAGGAATGTAGGCTGTTGAAATGACTCTATGAAGTGATTTTCTTTGCATATGTATTGTAAAATTGGCCAAGTTATGTGAATCAACAATCTGTTGGAATCAAACAAGGTTGTTTCTAGCAAAAAAATTCTGAGTTAGGATGCTATTGTTGGAGAGATGATTTCATTTGAGCAAGATCCTGATGTTGTTCAATAGGGCCTGTAGCTTTTTGATACAGGCCCATATTCTACATGTGGCTATTGTGGCGCTGTTACTCTAGAAAATGTTAGTTGCTATCGTGGGCATTATTTTAATGAAAACGACTATGAAACTAAAATTTAGCTACATAGAAAATGACGAGCTAATGGCACGTGCTATTCAGCAACAACTATCACAACTTGCAGTTATAGAAGCTTCCACACCTCCAGATCAATGGGAGGAAAATCTATAGCTATCTACTTTTCCAAAAGACTGGCATAGCCATCCTATGGGTAACTGTGACCATGGTATGTTCAATATTCCTTATTTAATGTCTTCTTAAGATGCTAAGTTTTCTACATCACTCTATTATGTTGTTTTTAGTTTATGCAAAAATTGTAGGACAGGAGAGTAATCAAGAAGAAGGGGAGGATGATGGACCTTCTAGTTTATGTTCTAGCTCAAAAAAGAATTCATATTATTGTGGTGAAGAATGGTTGTATTCATTGGAGCAGATGGATGAATATGCTGACAGAGAAGTGGGGAAGAGATTGAATTAGATGATACCAATTCCAGTAAGTGTTGCTTCTCAAGTTCCATTAATGCATTTCTGGGGAAGGCTTTACATTTTTTTCTTATTTATACCTTCATTAATTAACATCAAATCACATGTTTGGGTGACAAAAGACAATTTTAATATGTCATCTGTAATTAACGATGCTAATTTCCAAAGCTTTAAGTTTTTATGGCTGCATATAGGCTGCCTTCTGTCAGTTTCATGATGCTATTTGGCCAACATTTTCTCTTATCATTGGTTACTAGGCTAAAATCTTGATTCTCACTTCTGCTATTTTGTGCTAGTCTTAACTTTGAATATTTGAAAAACTTGTGTCTTGATTGGAGAAAAAAGGAAGAAAGAAGAAAGGGGTGTTGGATGTGATATGTTTTCCAAGTCTTCTATTGTTCCTACATTTGTAATCCTTCATGCAGCATGTTCCTAGCACCAATGGAAAAATACCTTCAGTTGATGAAGCGACGTTAGATCATCAAAGGCTACTAGACAGATATTGCTTATTAGTTTGCATGGTTGCTGGTGGTTCTTCCACCTTCTTTCTAATTTTTTTAGGAACTTTTAACATAATTATGATTTAGTTTTGCTTAAATTTGTCATGCTAGACCAAAAATGCTAAGAATACTTTTCTCATTCATAGATTGCAGATGTACAAGTTAGTTGAGTCTATCAGAGATGGAAACTGTCAGGTTTGCTCTTTTCTTTCATAGCATTGCCATCTCTTAGAATCATGTTCATCTTCTTGTTATTACTTCAAAAATCAGAAGCTTTTTAACAATTAGATGGTCCACATGTGGAATCATAATAAGACAACAAAAAACTTGTGTTTATGTGTATGTCATGAGTATTGAATCAACTATGATGTTAATAATTCGCACATGGTGATATATTCACATATTGCTTTGACTTTAAACTTTTGTAGTGATCTTTGTGTTATGTAGTTTAATTGATATCACATGAGATGTTTTTCCCCCTTTCAATTTTGCGCGCTATCAGATCAAATTTATCGAACTTCTGAGCACCACAAATCTGTGTGTGAATCGGGCTTGCATCTATTTTGTTAAACCTTTATATCATTGTCCATACAATGGATTGGTTTGATTTCATGATAATAGTTGATGTGAAGTTATTCTTGTCTATGTAATTTTAATGGGATATATTTTCATGGATCAATTGAAGTTATATCCAGAGACAGACGTGGGATATGTTCCCATAGATTATGAAGACTATTTAGAGAAGATGTCTAAGTACTTTTCTTCTTGCATCCTTGCTTATTTTTGAGTTTCTTTCTTGAAATATTTGTTCCTTACTTTAATTATCTTACTGATAGGATCAAGAACAGTGAATGGGGAGATCATGTTACTTTGCAGGTTGCTGCAGATACTGTATGTCTCAGCACCTTGTCTATAAGTCTTTTAAGGTTATGATGCATGATCTTTATGCATGCTTTTACAGCTTCTGGCTGGTTATTTTCTATCATAAATTTGTCCCAAATTATAAAATAATTTTTCACAAGATTACTCATACCAATAAAATTTAATAACAGCGCTTTACAAACTTACTTTTTCAAAACAAGACATGTAAAATTTTCAAAAATTCCCTTCATGTAATATAACTTCAAATCTGCAATCGTTTCAATTCTCCTTCCACTTAAAGGATAATATTAGACAAACATCATTAATAAAACCTTGTTTTTTTTAAATTGTCTTATATTTTGGGGCGACAAAATACCTTCAAATTTATTTTATAATTTGGGATGGAGGGAGTACTATATAAGTAGATCCTATTTAATGTTAACATAGATTCATTAGAATTGAAATTGAAATGATCTACTAAGACCACCTAATCGTGCAGCATGTCAATTGTTATCTTGATATGATCATTACGTTCTCTAATTCCTTTTAGCATACATTGCTGTATAGAGTAAAGATATTTGTCATAACATCATTCAAGAGCACTTGCTGCATTGAAACTCTTCCTAATTTTGAGGGATCCAAACAAGGTATCGTCATGTTCCACCTTTAATGGACTCCCAATGACATTTTACTAATTTTGAAAGATCTAAATGAAGTATAGTCATGCTTCATCTTTAATGGGCTCCTAATGACATTTTATTGATTATGTGTAATTCACTTCGATTAATACTATATTATATTTCCTTAAAACATAAAGTATATTTCTTTGTTGTAACCATTTTTTATTTCTAGTCGTAAGCCTAAATATGGCTTAAAGACTAACTTTCCAAATAAGAATATTGTGATTACAGGTTGACTAGCTCTTACTTTGGAGACTACTAATTATTTCCCTTATTTTCCCCTTTGGAAATAAAACAAACTTATTTTGCTTCACGAGTGGTGGCTTTTCTTGTTTGTTTATTATTCTAAGCATTATGTAGTTATTTTTCTGAACTTCTGGGCTGAGGTACACTACAATTCAATATATCCTGAAGGAGGTTGGCAGGCATGTGTCCTTTCAACTTTTGTTCTGCATACGCTCCCTTAGCTATTTAAATTGATCAAGTTATTATGAGATGTAATTCATGTAGAATTGATTTTCTGCCAGTGACCGGTTCTTGTGTACTTGGGGGAAATGGTGTTAAGAGGGAAAACAAATATGTATCGGCTAAGGATAATATTTTAAATTTTAAAAATGAAAGTGAATAAGCAAAAATTGGAAGAGGAAAAGAAACACTACGAGAACCTTGATAACAAATACCTTGTATTAGACAACGAAGGACCAATGAGAATGGTGGCTTCTTTTGACAATTTGCAGTTTGGAAGATTGGAATCAAGAAATATATCGTGGAAATCACATGACAAATAATGAAATTGAAGAGTTATTTTTTTCTTTGCCTTAAAATTTCACATGACAGAAAATATGATATTCTTGCTAAACTTCTTCAAGAATTGATTTACCAAGATATTAGTTTTATTTTTAGGACCTTGTGAGCTTCGAGAATTAATTAAATTATTCTATACTAATGGTCGATCGGAAATTCTCATCAAGTTTTGTGAGTCTTTTCTCCGTGAATTATCTATTGTATTACAGATACTTTGTTATGAGAATCTTTTAGTGTCTACCGCAAATGGTGCTTGGTTTAAGATGTTGATAGCCGACCAAATCTAGATGTTTGTAGGTCCGCATGCTGATATGTGAGTTGTTTTACATTTCTTCTCCTTGTTGTCAAACCGCTTGCTTTTGGTTGTGGGCTTACTATGCGACTGCCCTTGAATTAACTGGAATCGAATACGCATCCTTAGCACATTATGCACTCTTAGGCAATTATATTGACGTTGGCGGGGTTGCTTACTTGCTAGCTAGTTCACAATCTATCAATTTTTTTTAATCAATTTAATGCACAGATTGTTTTGATATCTAAACTTAAAACATCTTTGAATTGAATTATCTTTTATATTTGCAAAAGTAGCATTACATGCACGATGTTGAATTTAGTAGTTTGATACTGTTGCTCAGTTTTATTTAATCATGAGTTTGGAGATGATGTTAATTGTTAGTCATTGCCTTTCTTGGCATTCAATTTTATTGCACGCTTCCCACTGCCCTCATTTTAAATTCAAGTATAACTTTTGTCACGGCTTTGGAACTTCCCAATCCTTGAACCATGTCGGCCTTAATGTGATCAACCTCTTGTTCTCTATTAAGTCAACCGAACCCTCAGAATGTAGGCAAAGAAATTAGAAAACTTGAACACAAAAGAGAAGAGAGCTTGGTGAGAGAACTTGAGAGTTTAGAACTTTAATTACTTTCCTTGTTGTTTACAAATTAGGAGTTGTGGTGGTATTTATAGGCCTCCTCCTTTCTCTAAAAAATTCCCACCTCCTTAATGAACGATTGAGATCAATTTAATTCTATAATTTACATTCATCATTAAGAGTGTTCCATAGAAATTTCTATAATAAATATCTAGATATTTACAAAGATGTTTCTAAAAATTAACCTTCAAGATATGTGTGGAACGTTCTAGAACATTCTAAAATATCCTAAAATATTCTACATATATCCACGTTCTTTTATGAGTTTTTAAAACCTTCTAGATCTTTCTAGATAATTTTAGACTATTCTAGATGCTTCTAGAACATTCTAGAACATACTAGATTCTTCATGAACACCCTGAATTCTCTTAAAAATCTCCCCATCGTCCTGGACATCTCCAAAAGCACTGTAGCCTTATGGTTTCTTCTCTTTCTAAACAGAGATTGTGACATTTTTCCCCACCTAATCCAGTGATGCCCTCATCACTGACTCGATTCATGTACTAGGATTTCTCTTACAGAGATTCTTCCTCTTCTTAGTTCTCTAATGATTCATCTCTCCATAAGATGAGATCATTCCTGGCCTTCTTGGTATGCTATCTTCCTTTAATATTTGCATGGTTGATAACTGTGCAAATCCACCCCTTGAAGTGGGTACTGTGCAAGCAACTCCTCCTTCAAGGATGTAGAATATATTATGATATGGCATGATAAAGGCTTTTACCTTTTGCATAAACTCCAAACCAAGCATCACTTTTTTGTTGTCCATATGAGCAATTGAGAAATCTACCTTTCCATGCCAATCCCTAAGACATAACTCGACCTCTCGAGCAATGCCAACTAAGGGTTAAGGAGGAGAATTGGAAACTTTTAATAAACCTCCCCCTTTTTCAAGTTTGAGACCTATCATCTTGGCCTCTTCTGGAGAAATAAAGTTGTGGTCTGCCCTAATATCCACCATGTTGCTAACTGGCTTTCCTGTTAACTTAGCCTTCACATGCATCAACCCATTGTTTTGTGAAGGTTGGGTTTTAGAAGTGTTAAGGAGTTAAATTGATCCTATCTTAAGATTTTCCTCCCCTTCTTGCACTTCTTGCCTTTGTACCAAAGCAAATAATGACCCCAATTTTGGCAATCCTTCATCCTATGAGGGCCTTGACATACAAAGCAGTGAAGTTCCCTATTCTCTTTCTGCTTTATTTGGGATCCATTCCTATTGTCTCCCTTATTCATCACTTTCCTTTTAAGATTTGTTCCTTTACCACTTCCTTCCCTGCCATTCTCGAGATTAGGGTTAGGAAATCTATTCTTAGGAGACTCATCTCTTTCCCTCTGAAATTCTGAGAGACTCTCAGCGACCACTATGGCTTCATCGATGGTCTTGACACATCGTCGCTACAACTCATGCTTAGCCTAATTTTGAAGACCATCAACGAAGTAGAAGAGACCTTCTTCACTACTCAGATTTGGAATCTGAAGAGTTAAAGAGGTGAATTCCTGCACATAGTCCAAGATAGTGGTCTTATGTTTAAGCTCTCTTAACTTCTTACGAGCTACATAGACCACGTTCTTCGGATAGAATTGTTTTTTTAACTCTTTCTTGAAATCCTCTTAAGTATTGATTGTGCAAAGCTCCTTATCCATATCTGCATGCTTCCTTCGCCATCATAGCATGGCATTATCTGTAAGGAAGTAAGCAACAGTGTATACCTTAGTTTGATCATCTGTTATTCCTAAGGTGTTGGTATAGTAATCCATTTGCCATAAGAAGTTCTCAACTTCTTAGACATATCGTACACCTTTAAATTTCCTTGGTTTGGGAAGATCCATCCTCATTTTCCTTATTCTACTATTTTCATCCAATAGTAGATTCCTTCCTTTTGCCTCTAAGGAAGTCTTAAGAGTGTTGAGTTGTTATTGCATTGTAGTGATAACGTCTATAACCTTTACCTCTAAGGATCTCATTGCCTCCTTGCGTTGATCCTCATTGTTTTGCAAAGCATCCACACTATTATTTACCCTTTTAAGTTCTTTGAGAGTGTGGTTCTCCAACATACTCATATCACCCTCAACTTTCTCTAGCTATCCACCATTTCTTCCATATTTTTCTCACGGGGCCATTACTCTCTCCCTAAAAGATTAACCTATTAGAGTATGCAGCGCACCAGCCAAGCCCCTTCTCAAGTCCCTTCGATATGAGACCTGACAGCTCCATCAGCCAATCCGTGACATCTCTGTCACAGGTGGCCCACCAGAGGGGCCTACCAACTGGGCAAACTCGGGTTTGGCCCTGATACTACTTTGTCACGGCCTTGAAACTTCCCAATCCTTGAACTGTGCCAGCCTTAACGTGATCAACCTCTTGATCTTTGTTAAATCGGTCGAACCCTCAAAATGTAGGCAAAGAAATTAGGAAACTTAAATATAAGAGAGAAGAGAGCTTGGATGAGAGAACTTGAGAGCTTAGAACTTTGATTACTTTCCTTATTGTTTACAAATAAGGGGTTGTGGGGGTATTTATAGGCTTCTCCCTTTCTCTAAAAAATTTTCATCTCCTTAATGGACGGTGGAGATCAATCTAATCCTATGATTTACATTCATCATCTAGAGTGTTTCATAGAAATATCTATAATAAATATCTATATATTTATAAAGATGTTTCTAGAAGTTAACCTTCAAGATATGTGTGGAATATTCTAGAACATCCTAGAATATCCTAAAATATTTTAGGTATATCCACATTCCTTCATAAGTCTCTAAAATCCTTTAGATCTTTTTAGATTTCTCTAGATAATTCTAGATTGTTCTAGAACATCTAGATTCTTTTTGAACATCTTGAATTCTTTTGAAAATCTCTCCATCATCCTGAACGTCTCCAAAAGCATTGTAACCTTATGGTTTCTTCTCTTTCTGAACAAAGATTGTGATACTTTGCTCTTCATATACTAAGGTAATGAGAGGGGCAGTAATTTACAGTAGGTGAGTTGTTAATGGTTTTTCCTTATTTATATATTTTGAGGCATATGTTGAATCATCGGTGCTTATATTTTAAATAGACAAATACATATATAGGTGAACATGGTAGCAAGTGAATACAATAATGCTAATGTGTTTGGTCAATATATTGACTAAGAATTTTTGCATGCCAGTCCATATCTAACAAATAGAGTAGCCCTCTAAACTAAAATAGATAAGAAGTACTGATGCAACAGTTGAGACCTTATGGCTTGCTCAATCCTATAACTATGTGTTTATGGAGTTAGGCCATTGCATTCCAAATCCAATGATAGCAGTGATTTTCATCCGCATGGGGAATGAGCATTCCATTGCATTATCGATGGAATGGCTGAGAAGGAATATATGAAAAACCAAGAATGCCTATATATCGTCAAAAATTTTTCTTCCATCCATTAAGCCGTAACCATCACCCACTCACCATCTTTGTGCAGTACTTTTAATGCACACACTATATGTGTAAATACCAAAATACCAAATTTGAACTAATGCCATTTAATTAGAAACTCTCCCGGCTTTAAATTGTCATTATTGAATTTTGAAGTTCTCATAATTAAAAGTGATGAGCTTGATCTTTGAGCCAAATCAATCAAGAAAGGAATAAAAAACATGGGATAATTACATATATATCTCATATAAAGAAATTAATTACTGCAAAATTCATTAACAACTGACATAAGGCAATATAAAACAAAACGTGTTGTAAATGGCCTTATGTCAATTGTTAATGGACCTTACCATAATGAATTTTCTTGTGTGAGATTTTAACGTAATTCTCTCAAAAAACATTGCCACTTATGGAACTAGTTGTGATATACGCATATAGCATAACAAAGAATTTGATTTGATTTAATCTAAAGTTAAGTATTCAACCTATTAAACTCAATCTCTAGTAATAAAAAAAAGGGCTAAGATGTAATGTTATTCTTAAATTATTTTTAAATGAGCAATGTTGCTCCTAAACTAATCATTGTAACAATGTCTCCTCCAATTAATTAAATCGAAGCAATGTTACCCTTATCATTAAAAAATCATAAATGCCTGTTAACTAGAGAGAGATAATGAAAAATGAGTCCCACTAGTTATAGTTAATGAATATTTAAGATTTTTAAATAGTGAGGGCAATATTACTCCAATTTAATTAATTTAGAGAAGAAATTGCTATGATAAATAGTTTAGGAGTAATATTATTTTTTTGAAAATAATTTAAGGGTAAAATTGTATCTTAATCTAAAAAAAAATTAACTGAGTCTTATCTTTATAGAATTGTATTTGTTTTAAATAAAATTTTAACTTTATTTGTTGATATACATATTTTACTTACATTTTAACATCAATATTCAATTATTCACCATTCATTTATATTTTTTCATGTTTAATAGTATCGTAGATACACAATTTCTCATTTCTTTAGATGAACCCTAGCCTTTTCACACTTCCCACTTGTAAGCAGCAGAATGGCAAGTAGGTAGTAGCACTCGTTAACTTTTAAAGTGTGTTTAGTTTAAAAGTAAGGAAGAGGGGAGAGAAAGGAAGGGGATGGATTTTAAAAGAGGGGAGGGGAGGGTTTTAATAAACCTTTATTTAGTTTTAGGAGGGGAGGGGAAGGGAACTAAAAATAAGTTAACAATTTTATTTTTGTTAAATTTAACTATATTTTTATTTTTTGCTTTGATTTATTATTAAAAAACTATTATATTATAATTTATTAAGTTTTTATTTTAAGAATATGCACTTATATTAATAACAAAAATTTTGAATAACAAATACATTAATATTATATTTTATTAGTGAGTTTAATGAAAAAATATTAAAATTTTATACATTAAAAATTATATATTAATTTTTGTAGGGTGATAAAATTTATTTTATTATAAAGAGAAAGAGAAAGATAATATATAATTTTTTACTTTTAAAGATAGTTTGAAATTTTTAAAATAAATATTTAAATTAATCTTAATTATTTTCTCTCTCCTCTTTCCTCCAAAAAAAAACCCCAAATTGGAGGGAGGGGCTCTAATTTTTTAACTAAATAAAAGGCTTCCCTGCTCTCCTTTTATTATATACTAACTAAACAAGGTAAGGAGAGCAACTCCCCTCCCTTTTCTTTCAAAAACTTTCAATCAAATGCATCCTTTTGGGGGAAGAGGTGGGTAAGTTTTTTCCTTTACTTCCATGATCATTAAAGATAAATCAATTGCTTTTTTGTCATCCTCATTACAACCTCTTTTTTTCCATTGTCTCCATCCAACAAGAACAAGTAACCCATTTGAAAATATCAATGATTAAAAAAAATCAAATCGAATTGAATAGTCGAACCGTCAACCAGTTAGGCTAACAATTAGGTCAAGCTGAAAAAAACTATTTGAGGAGTTGGGTAAGATTTGGTTGTTTGAACTGACATTCGGACTAGGAACCAAAATTGATTCAAGAATCGGGTTCAATTTTTTGAAAACTAGCCTGTTAAAAAAAACCCTTTTTTCTTTTTTTATATATTTTTTATCAATTTTTTTAGAAAATGATCAATTTTTTTAATCATATGATGTTTTGTTATATCATATGGCTTGTTAACTCATGATAAACTTAAAATATTTGATTTTATTTTTAAGTTAAATAATAATTTTATATTTAAATTATTATCATATATATAATTTTTTATTTAATTATTTTGTCATTGGTTTGACTATTAATCTAATCTAATTTAATCATACGAACCGTAAGTTGTTGGGCTTTTTGGTTTAATATTTGATTCAATTTTAAAAACATTGAAAACTACTGGGTATAGAATATTGCAAAAAAAAAATTAAAAAAAAACAAAAAATAAAAGGAAAGCCAAAAAAAAGGGGGGGGGGGGAAAGACTGAGTAGCTGACGAGTGACGACAGAATAACAAAAACATCTCAACTGAAACCTAAGGTCTACTTTGCCAATATAATTTTCAGATCAAAATCTCGTCTGCCTCATAATTTCCTCTCCATTGCCCACCTCTGAATTAATGGAGCATTGAAATCTCATTACCATAAAACTCCATGTCTAAGCCTGTCCAGAAATCTAACTCCAGCGGTGGCAGAGCTTGCTCTTCACCTTCCGCGACGAAATCTGTCCCTTCCCCAGCAGCTTTGCCCTCGCTGTGTGGTTCAGCAGCAACCGAGTCCGACGAAGCCAATGTGGATGTGGACGATGAGACGCCGCCACCACCAGTGGCGGTGATAATGGACGGCTCCGCCTGACGCAAGAGCCACTCAATGGTCTGTCCGTGATTCTTGTTTCCCAGCTCGCGTGTAAGCTGGAAGACGCGAGCAGCGCATAATTTCGGCAAACGGACACGACGGTCACGCCCCTCAACTTTGGAGCGACTACGATCCTTCTTGTTGCTGCCTCTGCAACCCATTGGTATTTTGGTTTTGATGGATTCAGCAATTGGGTTCCCTGGAGCTTGAGGATCGGAGAGAACCTCGTTCAATCTGATTTCCTCTGAACTCATCGTTAACTGTGATGGTTATTTTTGGGGACCTGAATTTGGATGGATGTTCAAAACCAGGAAATGGATTAATATATGAGCTCACTCGTTGTGATTTATTTCTCTTCTAGATTGATTTTCAAGGAAAGAATGTGAGGTTACATTATAATACTACCTGAGTTCCAATTCATTAGTGGTTTTTTTTTTTTTTCTTTTCCCTTTTTTGATCGTGTAACGCCCACTGTGAAGTAAGATGCCAGAACATCCCGCGCACCAAGGCCAGAATCAAAAATGATGGCGCATCAGAGACTCAGAGACCCAGTGCACTTAAATAGGACGGTGGCAGAAATGCTTATACTGTGCTGATGATGGAGGTGGTGGAAGACAAATAATGCATTAATGTGGTCTGATCATACTTTCCTTTATCAGCTTTCTTGGTTTATCCCTTGAGTTCTGTGATTATTGTCACCTTCCATAGATCGTTAGCTGTCCCTTCCATGTGCCACGTAACAGTGGCGAAGCCATGATTTTGGATCAGAATTATTTACATATTCTTAATTTAAAAAAATAATAAAAAATTATTTAATAATTATATACTTTATAAATTTTCTCCACATGATTTTATATTCTGGAATCGTTAAACAATCAATTTATTGTCAATGCTTTCAAATATATATTTTTCAATATAAGTCTTGAAATAATTATTTATCCATGAATTTCTCATTCAATTGCGTAACCAAATTTTTATAAATTTTATAATAGAAAAGACTCTTTCAACTGTTGCTGTAACAATGGATAACACCATTGCTAATTTTAAGAGAAGATAAACTAATGGATAAATAATGTATCTTTCAATTTCAATTAATTTTTTTCACAAATTTATTTTAAGATTTCAAACAATATGAGTGAGATTATTTTTTTTCTTAAAGATTTAATAAATGTTAATTTTTTATAAAATAATATTACTATTTGAGTATATTAAAATTGTGGGCTAAAATTTATTAGGCTTTTGAGTTAAAAAAATTAATTTTGAATTTGAGTTAAAAAATAATATGAAATGATTTAAAATGCAAACCATAAAAAAGATGAGGTGCAGAATATAAATACCTATACTCCCATTCTTATGTAAGTAATTTTTCTCATTCATATGCCCACTAAAATACATGTGGCTCCGTCACTATCACGTAAAAATATCATGTAATATGTCCTAATCAAATTTATAGTGTCTTCCAAACATCTTGCACTTAGTGATATTCTAGAATAAAGAACGAAATGAAAGATAAGAAAAAATTTGAATAGACAATTTAATTAACTTCTTCTATAAAAAGTTGCTATGATATTCCATCCAATTGAAACAAGGAAGCTATGAAAAAAAAAAATTATTGTCTCAATGACATCCCACCCCTTGTGAGACCTATGAATGATGTGATGAGTAGATAGATGGCTGACTAGCAAGGCAATGAACAAGTATCACTCTTTTACAGAGGAGACAGGTCACCACTCCCTCTTCTAAAAAAGAGCACTCAAAAGCAAGGGAAAATATGAGGGAGATGGAAGAATAAAAGAAATAAGCATGTTAAGATAGATTAAATTGTAGAATGGTATGCAACAAGCGAAAAAGAGATTGAAAACGCTGCGAGTTGTGTCATTTTTATTCCTTTATCGTGATTTATAAAAATTGAGATATTCTAATCAATATCAAATTATTTTATGATAATTAAAATAAATACAATTGATTAACTTAAATAGAATAAAAAATTACAGTTAACTAAAAATCATAAATTAATCATAATCTGATCACATTCAATCACATCTAACCAATAAAAAAGATTTTTTTACATACTTATCTAATTAAGTTGGATTTAACTATTATCGAGTTTAATTAAAAAAAAATTTTTTAAAGATATTTTTTCAAGTATAAAAAAGTGAACGACCTCTCTTTCTGTTTTTTTTTTTTTTTTGAAGACCAAAAAAGAGAAACTTTTCACACACCTTTGAGTAGAGCCTTGTACGGACCTCTATATCTCATTTTTTCATCCCCACGGACTCGTTTACGACCCACCCATATCTCATTAAAGGCCCATTTTCCAAAACATCCGGCCCATTCCACATGTCCTGAATTATGCTGGGTTTTGGTAAAAGTAAAAGAGGTGGGGAAAGAAAATCGTGGGTTCGTACACTCATCAGGCCTGGTTTTTCTCTCACATCACATCCGACGCGTATTTTCCATCCGATCTAGAGGCAAATGTTAACTTTAAATTTCTTGAATGAATGAAGCTGCTTAGAATTCAAAACAAGCCGCATGTAGATAGTGCAATTCCTTATAACGTGAAACATATTTTGATTTCTGGCCCCAAACAAAAAAAAAAAAAAGGAAGGAAACATATTTTGATAGCTTAGTAGAATAGAATTAAAGCGTATTTATAAATTACTCATCTATTTGATTTTTTTTTTTTAACCTGAAGCGGCAACATGATTTAATCTCGCGCCCTGATGAAATATGAGCTAAGTGCTCCCTAACTAAATCTAACATTTATTGGCAATTTTTACATGTTTTGCTTCACTTGAATATTCAATCCCCATCTTAGATTATTTGGTTATAAGCTTATAATCAATCCCATTCCCATGTTTAATCGCTGCTGTTTCCAATGGGCCCAGCGAGCCCCAACTTTGCAGAACCGACAAGGGCCCTGTCAATCAAGTCTCGGCGGTTCTGGTAGGAAATGGAAACTTCTGGAAGCTAGTCCGACGCCATATAGCTAAACCCTAACTCTTATGCCGTTCCTGTTGTCGTAGTAACCTTATCTGCAAGCTCCCTGAAGGTCGTCACCAGAGGGAAATGGCCTCGGCAAACGCTATCTCCTCGGCCTCTATTCTTCGCTCTCCCAAGCAGGTTCCTTCCTCTATCTCCATTTCATTTCTCGTTGCTTATGGGGAATTAAAGAATTATTCATGCATATTCGCATCTTTGTTTTTCTTTTTCACGGGATTTCATGATAATTCGTGCGTTTTTGTTTTATTCCGTAGTCTTGCGTGCTGAACTGGCTAGTTCCGGTCTGTTGATGTGGTGTCCTGAGGACTTGAGTCAATAAATTATTCTTCTTATTTTGTGTCAGTTAAAGTATAATTTCTGAAAGGAAAACACAGCTTTAACTTTCGTTACTGGCATGAATTTTCACGCGTCTGCGAGGAAGATTTTTGAACCGTGCACGCGTGTGTAAATTTCCACTTGGAGTTCAAATTCTTTGTATCACACTCTGTATTTTCTTCTTCCTGTAGAGCCTAATCATTTTGTGAAACTTTGAGTGCAGAGTTTGAATAGGAGAGTCAACCAGCAGCAACCGAATGGGAGGATAAATTACAGGCAATTCGGTAATCGGTTTGTGGTGAGAGCAAATGCTAAGGAGATTGCCTTTGACCAGAATTCCCGTGCAGCTATGCAGGCTGGCATTGATAAGCTAGCAGATGCTGTGGGACTTACTCTCGGGCCCAGAGGTAAGATTTTGTTCTTTTGATGCTTCTTTATTGCGAATAGAAACATAATTAGGATCCATGGAAAGATTGTTCCCTTTTCATGTTGATTTCTGGAGAGAACTCTGATCTTACCACATTTTTTTTTTTTTTGTATTCATCCTCCTCCTCCTCCTTCCTGTTTTCTTCATCATGTTTCCTGCGATGTTCACTGGAGCTTAAACAAATGTGTTTTTTCCTCAATGACGTAGTACCTATGCATGTATTGATCAGTTCAACTATATTTTTGAAGGAAGAATAATTCTTTCTTTCCTTAATGTAAATATCACAGGGAGGAATGTTGTGTTAGATGAGTTTGGAAGTCCTAGAGTAGTTAATGATGGAGTTACTATTGCCCGAGCTATAGAGCTAGCTGATGCCATGGAAAATGCTGGTGCTGCTCTGATTAGAGAGGTACGTTATCTCTGTTTCTTTTGAGTCTCCAACCTCCCTCAACGTTGACACTCAAAGAATGTAAGATTTCCTTCTGAGCTTACTGCAAAGTGCTCCTAGGTTTTCATTCTCATGTTGTGAAACTGTACAATGAAGGTTGCAAGTAAAACCAATGACTCTGCTGGTGATGGGACAACAACAGCATCAGTTCTTGCTCGAGAAATAATCAAGCTGGGACTTCTTAGTGTGACCTCCGGTGCTAATCCTGTGTCACTCAAAAGGGGAATTGATAAAACTGTGCAGGGTTTGGTAGTGGAGTTAGAGAAAAAGGCCAGGGCTGTCAAAGGACGAGATGATATCAAGGGTATTATTCTGTCATTCATCAGGAGCTTTTGTCATTTTCTTTCATGTGTTTTGATTTCTGGATTGCCATGGTAATTTTCATGTATTTTGGCAGCCGTTGCTTGTATTTCTGCTGGAAATGATGAGCTTATTGGAACAATGATTGCCGATGCAATTGATAAAGTTGGACCTGATGGTGTTTTGTCCATTGAGTCATCATCTTCATTTGAGACAACGGTTGAAGTTGAAGAAGGAACAGAGGTATGACTTTTCACTTGCTGGTCACATATATTGGGCGAATTGCATGTTCTTCAACTTTCAATCTAATTATATTTCCTTGCATCTTGTTTTCTTCCTTGTGACCTTCAGATTGATCGAGGTTACATCTCCCCACAATTTGTCACAAACCCTGAGAAATTAATTGTTGAATTTGAGAATGCAAGAGTCTTGATTACAGATCAGAAGATTTCAGCAATAAAAGACATTATTCCTCTGTTAGAGAAAACCACTCAATTGAGAGCTCCCTTACTTATTATTGCCGAAGATGTCACTGGTGAGGCTTTGGCTACTCTTGTGGTGAATAAACTTCGAGGCATCCTTAATGTTGCTGCCATCAAAGCTCCTGGGTTTGGTGAGCGGAGAAAGGCTCTCCTTCAGGACCTTGCTATTTTGACAGGTTTGTGAAATTTCTTTCCTTCTCTTTTTCTTTCTTTCTTTCTTATTTTTTTTTTAAGTGTTTGGTTGGATATTGAATTTGCATGCTGAGTATGAAAATGTAT